GGTTTCGAGGGTTTCAAATTGGTGACTTCCGGTTTAGAAATTCACGTTTGTCAGGAAATATTTTCAAATATTCGTGGACGAATTTTTTGTGGTTTCGATTAAGTTTATAAACTGTTTGGCTTTACCGCCAGGCGACGTCCATTTACCCGTTAATCCGACAACATTTTCGGCAAAAGTCCTTAACGAACAGAGGTCGTTTGTCCATTTGAGACGGATCCCATCATAAACTAGATGACCTTGATTGGTATCACCTCGCACGTTGAATCCTTGTCTATAGCAATTATCCTGTAAGGATGATCCTTTGATTAAACTTTTCCACTGCTCGCGACTGACGTCAGTTTGTCGATAGTTTCCGTCTGCGATCAAATCATACAATGATGATGCTGGATACCGGAAAGAGAATGCTCTGAAATTACCATCATATTTCATACCGACACAAATTTCTTCAAATGAGGTTGTCGAGTAAGTCGATCCTTTATATTGTCCGTTGTCTAAACCGCCGTTTCGCCCATAGTCAGTGTCATTGTAAGTTGTTTTGTTCGTCCAATAGGAGGAATTGTATTTGAAAGTACTCTATAAAAACAAATATGTTAAGAAACTAGAGGACACTCTGAGCCTGCATATCTTCGCAATCGGATTTATTAATATGTATAAATTATATCGTGCAGTAATTATATATACAATAGGCTAATTGCACATTTGGTTTATTTTGCCGGGCAAAACAAGACAAACTTTAAACACACACACAAACACACAAAAGCGGATGAAATCATGGAATTTGTTTACAGGAAGCTTGCATCGCTGTACAAAGTATATTTGCATTCTGATTCGCAGATACATAATCATTAATCTTAAGATAAATATTAATGCCCAGCCATAGCAAAAATATAGTTTAAAACATTTACTAAAAAGCAAACGTTTCGTCTTTAACTTAAGACATCTTCAGAGCAATGAGATACAAAGCAGAAGTAATCATTAAATCTGCACGCACGCTTACCAAGCTTCCATCAATCTTCATCACTATTGTCCAACCGCCGCCATAGCATCCTGAGACGTTAGTCATTTGACAGTATATACACGTCGATAAATTTATTTTTTCCAACACTGATTTGGTAAACACCATTTCCCTTGTTGCTGTAAGATAAACGAAATATTTTCTAACTTAATTTCTGTTTACAATTTACGCAATTTGGAAACTGATTTGAACAAGTCACACAGTTAGCACTGATATCGATGAAGATCAGGGCTTACGGATCGAAAGTTTTGCTGTAATAAATTTATATGGTGTTCCCACAAACAAAAAGTATTATATGATTTAATCTATACATCTCTACTAACACCAAAAACGAATTTTCTCAAGCGAAGCTTTAGATCAGCGGGTCGATGTTGTGGAACAATTTTCCATCTGCGGTAAGAAATGGAACCTCACTTTATCAATTTAGACATCGCATTGCCGATCTGTCGCTTACTGAAACCATATATAAATTTGATTATACTGTAATTTATGTGATTTTGAATAGACTGCCAAATAGGTACGTGTATATATTTCACGTATACCAACTTTTCTTGTTCAATTTCCTTTGAAAGTGTTTAATAAATAACCTAATTAATGCATGGTAATTGTAGATGTGGTAGTTATAAGGAAATAATAGCAATTACGCCCTTTCTGTAAACCAGCTTACTTTTTACTCTAAAAAGTTGAGAGAGGCTAGTGTGATGAAATAGAACCCATGTGGTGTATATGTTTGTGTATGTATGTGTGTATGTATGTATGTATATAAGATATATGTGTGTATTTTACTTGCGATAGATGACCCGAGCCGAAATCGTAATCTGGAGAAAATACGTAAAAGAGCCATAACAAAAATATAGTTTAAAATAATATTTATTAGATAGCCAATGTTTCGTCTTTAACTTAAGATGTCTTCAGGGCATTGAGCGGGAAAAGTTGAGAAAGTCTTCTCATTAACAAACTCAAATCCTCTCTCAACTTACAAGGCAGTTTGGTACCCCTCTACTTCTACTCTGATCCACTCTTCTTTCTACTTTTGTAATATAATATCTTGTAAAAAGTTGTAATTTATTCATGTTTCTATGTTTTCCGCTTTGTATGCCATTGCTCTGAAGATGTCTTAAGTTAAAGACGAAACGTTAGCTTTTTAATAAATATTTTAAACTATATTTTTGTTCAGCTCTTTGCGTCATTTCTGGCATTTTCTGCAGGACATTAACATTTATATTAAGATTTTGTGTTTTACCTAGAGCTCGTCAATATTTTTTTGCATGATGTCAGCACTTCTGAAAAGAAAAAGTGCGGCATTAGCCAATTAACTAATAGAGAATATATAATAAAACACCGAAAGGGTGAGGGTAAAGCATCTACATAATAATTGTCTTTATTACACAAAATGTTATTCTTGCCATTCAAATGTTATTCTATATAAGCTTGTTAAAAAGGCCCTTTGAAAAGTAAGCAGATCGATTTCTTAACCCATTAACGCCTACTAGTTTCCTTTCATAGACAAAATGAAATAACTTCATCGCCAAAAATCTTCCCCAGGAGGAAAAAAATTCAGAATCGTTAAGCTCTTTCAAAACAATTTTGAATCAAAGAATTTGTTGAATCTGGCTCATCAAAATATATATTACGAAAGTCACCGAACTGTGGAATCGCATCAAAAATTCGTATATTGACCACTCCCACAAACGTCTACGACCGCGCCTACATAGTTTGAGTCAAGTAGCAGCTCTCACAAGGTCTTAGCTCATTGGCTAAAATGAATGTTCCGGTTTCGAGGGTTTCAAATTGGTGACTTCCGGTTTAGAAATTTACGTTTGTCAGGAAATATTTTCAAATATTCGTGGACGAATTTTTTGTGGTTTCGATGGTTTCAAGGGCTTCAATGGTTTCAAGGGTTTCAAGGGTTTCAATGGTTTCAATGGTTTCAAGGGTTTCAATGGTTTCAAGGGTTTCAAGGGTTTCAATGGTTTCAAGGGTTTCAAGGGTTTCAATGGTTTCAAGGGTTTCAAGGGTTTCAAGGGTTTCAATGGTTTCAATGGTTTCAAGGGTTTCAAAGGTTTCAAGGGTTTCAAGGGTTTCAAAGGTTTCAAGGGTTTCAAGGGTTTCAATGGTTTCAAGGGTTTCAGTGGTTTCAAGGGTTTCAAAGGTTTCAATGGTTTCAATGGTTTCAAGGGTTTCAATGGTTTCAAGGGTTTCAATGGTTTCAAGGGTTTCAAGGGTTTCAATGGTTTCAAGGGTTTCAAAGGTTTCAATGGTTTCAAAGGTTTCAATGGTTTCAAGGGTTTCAATGGTTTCAAGGGTTTCAATGGTTTCAAGGGTTTCAATGGTTTCAATGGTTTCAATGGTTTCAAGGGTTTCAAAGGTTTCAATGGTTTCAAAGGTTTCAATGGTTTCAAGGGTTTCAATGGTTTCAAAGGTTTCAATGGTTTCAAGGGTTTCAATGGTTTCAAATGTTTCAAGGGTTTCAAGGGTTTCAAAGGTTTCAAGGGTTTCAATGGTTTCAAGGGTTTCAATGGTTTCAAGGGTTTCAAAGGTTTCAAGGGTTTCAATGGTTTCAAGGGTTTCAAAGGTTTCAAGGGTTTCAAGGGTTTCAAGGGTTTCAATGGTTTCAATGGTTTCGAGGGTTTCGAGGGTTTCGATGGTTTCAAGGTGGTTTCGATGGTTTCAAGGGTGTCGATGGTTTCAAGGGTTTCAAGGGTGTCGATGGTTACTAATTCTAAGACGCTCTTTCTAGCTGTAGTGATATATTTCGTTGTTCTTATTTAGATTAAAATTTAGTCTAAAGCGCAAGTCGTCCATTTGTTTAGCTAACTCAGGTGAGGCGCTGAGGCCTATCGAATGAAGTAAGGCACGGAGGCCTATTTAATGAATCATGCAAGGCACGGTGACGGAGGCCTATGAATGAATCACGTAAGGCACGGAGGCCTATGAATGAATCATAAGAGTTGTGCTCTCCCTTATATATGTTCAGAGAAGAACGTTTTTTCTTGCAATGTCATTTTGTGGGAAGATTCTTACAATCTTCTTGCGGTTACCGTTACCGTCCATTACGCACTTGTGGTAACTAAATATTTGCTTGCTCATGCATGACTAAGCTAAAAGAACTTCCCGTGTGTAAAACAATTTACCATAGGTAAATTCTCTAGAGTAAATATAATATAACTAAACTATGATATATAATATATATATAGTAAGGGAAAGTACATTTATTACACCGAGGGAGGGGGATGAAGATGTCTTGAAAAAAGCTCATATTTTTACAGGGCCCCTGTTGAGGTTATCGGTAAATTTTAATGCCCCCCCTCCAAGTTTTTAAAATTTTCAATGCCCCCCCTCTCTAGAATTCGGAATCGAAGGAGTACAATCCGGAATTCTCTCTTATCATAGATACAATTTGCAGTTCCTCAAGATGTCTGATATACTCAAGTGCTTCTCCTCAACAAAACTACCGATCTGCTGCTTCTTTCATCTCACTAGCGCCAGATGAAATGGCACCGTCTTTAAAAAAAATTAAATTGGCTCTAGGGGTGGAATTATCAACAGGTTGTTGTTGTCCATCATTCAGCGTATTCGGAGTCTTGAACACGTTAATGTAATGGCCAGGATTTCCTGGATCAGGGTAATGTGCTGGAACCTTACAGTATGTTGCCCCCACCCAACTTATCTCCCGGCATCTGTTGCAAATGTCTTTGCATGCCTGTCAAAAATGCATGCAAAAGTGCCAGTATGCTTCAATTTCTTTAATTTCCATCCCGTTTGTACGAAATATCCCATAAACATAGAACATATCATTCTTGCAAATTGTATATGCTTTTTTTCTTTTTGGCGCGTAAATTACTTCACAAACCTGGCGCAAAAAAATTTAAAATAAGCTATAGGTGATTTCATGTATCCATTTAGAAGAGCAGACTAAGGATATCTTAAAACTGAAATCGGTTTCGAATACAACCATCAGGGACGTAGCAAAGCATCTGACATTTGGGGTGGGGGGGATGTCAGAGGATTATACGTGTAATAATTATAATAAAGCTTTTTGTGATTGATTGGCACTCTTATACTAAGTTTTGGGAGAAAAGGGGTGTCTGGGGGTCCTCCCCCAGAAAATGTTTACATTTTCAAAGCTCTAGGACTGAATTTCTGGCGTTTTCTAAAGCAAATTTTGCAAACAAATTGCATGTAAATTGACTGTATTTTACAAAAATGGTTATCATTTCACAAAAATAATTACTTTATTATGCAAATTTTACCTGAAACTGATGTAAAAATTTAACTTTAATT